TTATGCAGTTTCAAAAAATAAGTAACACTTCACTAGATTTGATGACCTCTTGCTTGAGAAATGGAAGTTGCAGTAATGTTGTTTACAAGCCCTTCTTTTGTGGGTCAGACACTTGGTGTTGAGAAATTGAATGCACTGTACAATCAAACCTACCAATTTCTGATCTACTTCCCCAGCAGCCACATTATATAAAAGAACATCGCCTGAAGATGTACCAAGTGCTATTGAATCACTGGCATTTGAAGTTGATGAGTGTCTTGAAGTCTTTGATTTCTTTCTTCTTTGATTTGTCTATTAAAATAAAAATCAAGAGTAATGTTCGATCATCAAGAAAGTTGAAGTTCAAACTTGGAGTTACAGAACCTCCCTTTTGTAACTGGGCAAAGAAGATGCTCTTTGCTAAATCAAAGCAGCCATACCAACAAGACCTCTGGATTAACATCTCTATTGAACAAGCAAAAGGGAGCATGCAGAAAGCTAGTTTGGAGGCATTGATTGAACTATAATTCAACAATGCCACCACAACAAGATTGCCAATTAGAGGAACACACTAGAACTTAAAACTTGAACTGGAACAAAGCAAAGCTTGAGACTGGAAATCAGCAGTAAGGAAGATGGATGTTGACGTTACATGTGAAATGCAAACTTTAGACTGTCTATTTACAATATAACTTACGATAACCAAGGCTGACTAATTGATTTAAATGATATCTGGTGGAGATAAAACTACAGTGTATGAATTTTACTGTCCATCATCGCGATAACCCACCGTTTCAACATGCGTTTCAACCAACGCACGGAACAGATCTTTTCACCAGTGTGATTCAGGTATTGCCTATTGCAGCAAACGCTTGCATTACAGCTGTTTGCCATACAAAACACTTTAAGTGAACTACAGCGTGACAAATTCACAAATTACGACATAATTTAATGATACCATTATCATCGACAAAAAGTCACACTTTACTACATTGCAATTTTTGTCGAACACTAGAAGACAAAGTTTCTCAACAAATTCATTTACTCAAAAAAAAGGCTTCATTCTGTACATATTTCAAGCACGTCCAGTTGAAAGAAGCCTTCTAAATACTATAGTAAGTATTACGAACGCCATTTCAGCTCGGTAAAAAATATTTGTCGACAGGTATACGAATTCTCCACATCAAAAACTCACGAATTGGAAACTAAATTGTAATAAATTAGTTCTATGATTGATCCTTAAACCAAAATTCGCGGCAGTACAGAATATCAACACGGTCTTAGCTCGTTAACAACAGCAAACAAGATAATTCTTTTCAAAAAATACTCCGCACACGCACTCTTGGGACCATGCTTGCTTACCACAGATCTCGAAGTTCGACTCCATTTGAGGCAACTACAAGACGAAGAAAGGTGCGATGGTGGAGTAAATTCATGCTTTAATGATCCAGCAGTGCAGTCCCATATTTTCAGGCGACCGTCTGGGGTTAAATGTGCTAAAGCACGACCATTATTATCAAAAGCACAACCACAGCCGTCCATATTTCATGATTCCATTTGCACGTGGGGACTAGTGATGTAGTACCCAGACCTCTAGCGAGCGATGTGAAAAAATGGAAGTGAAAGGAAACGAAGAACAGCGCAATATTTCAATTACAGGTTATTCGTGGAGAGCGCAAAGCGGGTAACGGTAACTCATTAAAGGTAAAATTAGTTTGGATTTTAATTTCTAAAGGCTGTTGTATAAACTAAGCTTTCTGAAGTTTTTCCTTGTCAGGCAAAACTGTTGGAAATAAGATAGGGTAATTATTTAGTGTTATCAACTGAGTTGAAAACGCAAATTGGCCACCGTGAAGAGTTTTAATGGCATGATAATTTTCCAGTCACAACTCTATTTTGCCGCGATGAATATGAGCCTGTAGATACACAGGGAAGCGCAGTGGCATGAGCCATTTCACGTAATGCGCGCAGAGATTTGTGAGTGTGACACCCAGTAAATCCCCATCTGGGATAGGTCATAGCGCTTGTCACCTTTTCTTCAGAACTCATTCACAAACTAACATAATGGTATTTGGTGAGGCTTCCTCGCGTGTCATGAACTTCACTTTGATTGGTCAGTGCCTAATCCCGTACCCAGATCTTACCGCTTAGCCAAAACTGCTAGGCCGTGGAAGATCTGGGTACAAAACAAGCTCATAAGCCGGCTGTCGGAAGTAAGTCAAAGTGTCCACAGTTTTCTGACTCTTACAGAATCCAGTGTTTACGTTTGCCACCTTGGGCTTTGAGTTGTGGTTCGTAATCGGCTCTTAGTGGTTCTATTTAACCCCTTACACCTAACATCATTATGTAAGCTCTCCACACTGTTCTCTATAAACGTCTTGTGTCCTTACAGGGAGAATTTGTTTAAAAATCAAGAGATTCTTAAGTTCGCAATCATTTCCTATATTGTTATTACCTTAATGTTTGATTCAGGAGGATACTGTTGGGAGAAATTAGATGCTTGTCACTCTTAGAGCCCAAGGGGTTGAAATACGTGTTTAAGCTCGGAAGGAAACTTCAAAATGTACAGTAGCTGCTATATGGAGCTAATTAGAACGGATGGCCCACAACACAGACCGCTGGCGGACTGTTATTGACGGCCTATGTACCAGGATGAGCGATGGGCTTAGATGGATAGATAGTAGCCGCTCAACTGAAAGCCTTCGAACAACAATTTGTAATGGTAATAGGACTGAGTGGAATCCAGTTCGGTCTGTAATCATACGAGTGATGACAAAATCAGACGACCCCGCAATGGTGTTTATCACGAGTATGATTACAGACCGATTTGGACGACACGAAGTCTTATTACCAATTAATCATAAAAATTACAATTTCCGAGGAAGGAAGAATAGCCGAGTTATGAAAGAAAGGGAAAATTTGCATAAAAAACTAACAAAGGAGGCGGAAATTGTCGAATGGTTGTGATTGGTTGATTTAAACTACAACTGTGAATGTGATTGGTTGATTTAACCTACAACTGTGAATGTGATTGGCTTATTGAACTGTCCGATAACAACTTTGCAAGTGAATTAGTGGAAAATAGGAGTTTTTTGAGCCAATCACAATTGAAGAAATTCCAATTTTTATGATTATGTGTGATACTGTTAGTTATGATTTACAAAGAAGTCTTAACTTTTAATAGATCTCGTGTGTGAATACCGAGTAGTACTTTCATATGGTACTGTTCATTGTCACGCGCAAGATGGTTCTGATTTGAAGGTCTGTGGATGAAATCGTTATGGTGACTATTCAAATGACAGTTTTGGAGTAGGACTGTCATGTAGTACTGTGGTATGCTTTACAAGGAGATTCTCACTAACAAGTCTATGACATGTCTATTTGTGAGTGGCTTTTTATAACATAACTTTAGAGCAGCACATACATATGGTGCTGTTTTTCAAGCTACCTCTGCGAGCGATTCTACTAGCGATACACCCCTTGTACGCATGTGTTTAGCCTTTCAAACTGTACAGCTTAGTATCGAGCAAAGCCGTCGTGTGCGTTCTTCTTTCAAAATCTTTCACAAGGAACCTTTTGTTCAAGTTCGAACTTATGCACTTTGAGGACTGCGAGGATTAAAACGATATTCGAAATGTCAGCGGTTGCCAAAGAAGAAAGAAATAGACCACCCGCACTGCAACGCGTTTTCGCGGGTCGCTAATAAGTGCTGATTGTTCGATATCACCTCAGATATCAACCCTTCAGTAATTTAATGAAACGAGCATCTCTTGTCAAATGACTGGTAATGATTTGTTTGACACGTATCTGAGAGATAACCATTGTTGAGTCGATTGCTATTCAAACTCTTTCAATGGAAATTAAATTCCCTGTGAAGTTGTTTACTTAAACTCGCTTTTAAATACAGAGAACATTATGGCAGCTTTTGTAAGGGATCTTTAGTGATCATGTTGCACGTGTTATCAAATTTGCACTCAATCAGCGTTGCTCCGGTTTGTAACATTTTCTCTTTATTTAGGCGAGAGCTGAAGAGCAATCCCGTTCGAGTAGGTCATCAAATCTTTGATTGGATTTGCTCTTGAAATAAGCCTTTGTTATTAGGAGTTATTCATTATTGATGAGATAAAATCTTGTGGTGGAAATGCTTGCCCTTGTTGACAGCTTAATGGAAATGTTCAGAATCAATCAAGCGCTTTGCAAACAAACTTCGACTCTGGTCTCACGGACTGAATTTGACAGAACAAAGGCAAACCTTTATGGCATGCAGTCTATGTACCTTGAAAGACGTCAAGGTTGAAGAAAAATTCTTAAATAAATTTTCCAAATAAAGTTGAAAGGATTTGTAACGTTTTGTGGTTCCGATGTTAACACTTTACAAGTGTTTCATGCTGATAAAGTTCGCACGATGTGTGCCAAGTCCACGAACTGTATGTCTGTTTATAATGGGTTTGTGTAAATGCAAGCAAAGCTTAAAAGGAAAATTGAGCCTTTGGTGAAAGAAAGCCGACCTAATCAAACACAGATGGGAGGATAAAATTCTGTCTTGTCGCAAAAACTCTAACTAACGCAAGAAAAAAGCTATGTAAAGAATATTACTTGCTGCTTGCCTTGTTCAAGAAACTCCCGAAGTGAGAATTTGCCTTCAGGGCTTTGTTTCTTGGCCATCAGATCGAATTAAAATCAGCTTATATAATCCGTGTACTCATCTGCTGCTAATAAAAGCTGACAGGAGTATGTATTATGTGTCAATATACTTGAACTATGTAAAAAGCGCTGATCTCAATTCAATTTACGGAGAACTATGCCACATGATAAACACAGGCGTAATCCAAACGACCACAGTGAAAAGGGAAGCCATGGCAAACTCGAGGCGCGCGGACATTATGTTGGGCAAAAATTTCAAACCGGAAGGACAACCCGGCCCTTGCAAGCCTTACCTTGCATTTTCAATCGATAATATTTTGAGAAGAAAAGAAGAAACTTCGCGAAACATAACGTGTGTTGTCAACGGGAACAAAGCATACACAGCGAGATCTGAATTTGAAGACCTGCAAGAGAGCTCTAAAAGAGGAATGGAAGATTCAACTAAAATTTCCCATTTACCTTGGTTGGCATATACACGTTACTCACCGCCTAAACTTCCAAGTGAGTGTTATTTGCGCATCTATTTTTTTCTTGAAAAAAAGTATCGATACCAACGCTGTTTTATGCTTTGGGAAATGGCGGAGACGAAGGAGGGTTACTAAGTGATTCACTTCGTTTGGCCGTGTGGCCGACTATTGGAAAGCGATGGAAATATTCATTTATCTCCAGATAGCTAACTTATTTTGAAGTCTGATATAGATAATTAATTGTAATAAGGCATGCTTTGATAACAAAAAGAGGTGAGTTGTGCGCACTGACTTTTGTTATTGTACATGTGTGAGGAGAAACTTGTGGAACTTTTCAATTCGAAACTAGACAGCTTAAAAGCTTAAAAAAAAAGGCAAATGAACTTCTTGGGTAACAACCAGCAAAGTTCAAAGGAAGGAACCTTTACCTCGTTCATAATAATTTTTGAACTGATATTACCGGCGTTCTCTTGTGGGTTTGTAATCTGATGTTTGTAACGGATAAACAAAAATTATACCAAACAATTGGGCTAAAGTTTGGTTTGAATCAGTTTGCGACTGACTACTTGAACATTGTACTCTAGCAAACTAGTAATGCCTATCTGTAATGAGTTTAGAATAATTATTACAGCATGCTGAAGTAAAGTCCTTGTTGTGCAGGGTCAAGAAGAAGACTTAACAACAGCAAACGTCGTTCAAGTGGTTGTCCTCGGGTGCCATTCTCCACTTCACAGCTGATGACCTTAGAGCAGAAATATACAGAAAATCACTATCTCTCTGGATCACAAGTCACCGATCTGGCGCACAGCTTGGACTTACCACAGCATCGAATCAAGATTTGGTTTCAAAACCGACGGGCGCGAGAGAAACGAAACCAAGAGGAAAGTTCGATCAACAAGATGGAGGAGCAACCAACAAATTTCTCGCAACAGGTTGTGTTAAATACACAGTTAACAGCTTGTTATGTGCCTTCTCCGCTGACCTCAAACTTTTCCATGGACTGTTTTGGTTTAGGCAGCCACTCGCCGTATAAAATGCACAGGCCCGCAGCAATGGGTACCTTTCCTTTCAGCTGAAGGAACTTGAGCCTAAGCTTTGGACGATCGTTTATGAAGCAAGAGTGTAAACCAAAGACATACTCTTCTAGCTTTCGGCTAGTTAAACAGAATTTCATCTAATACTGCAAGCCGAAAAAACGTATCGTTTTTTATCGATTTCATGTAAGTACGGTGTATTTTGAGATGGTTCAGCTTCATTAATGCTACGTCAAGTTACGATTTTATTTGCGGTGAGCTGATCTGCGTACCTTGATTCGTTCTCATTCTTAGTTATTATGCAGTGATATGAATTAGGTAGTTCTCTTTTCATTTTGTGTAAAACGCTTGTCACATCATGTTCACTCAAGGATAGAGTAACACAAACACACGGACAGAAATTTGTCCATTCGATTTAACTCGTCGGTTGGATGCAATAAAACAGGACCAAGTCAACACTCCTGAGATATCTGCTCACTGAAGCGCGTTTCATGCGTGTGGTCCAAGTCAAAATTAGGTTTGCAAGTCCTTTTGTTATTGCAGTTGTATTTTCTCTGAGGAGGTAACAAATTTCTCCCAAAGAAAAATTGTTTTTTCTATATGTCCACCGGCAACCGCGTCAAAACAATGATGTTAACCATGACATGCAAAAAGCCTCCCTTTGTGTGAGTAAACCCTATGTAAACTTCCAATCTACAGAGTGAAAGGTGCCCGATTAATGTCCGCTCGACGACCACCTTATGTTTTCAGATTTTTTACATGCCATATGTTCGTACCAGTATATCTTGAGTGAAGGGTGGTCTACATACAAAATCCTTGTTCATTTTGTTGATGCGGGGGGTGATTTCCGTGGTTTAAAACTGTTCGCTAATGAAAACTTTTTAATTATGGAAAGATTGACAATGAACTTGCGCGAAACTAGAAGAGGTTTTGTAGGGAAATATTGAAAAATAACCATTGTATATAAATTTCAATTGAACCTCAACTTGTCTTCAACGTTGAAGCCAAATTGAATTGACTGTGTTTTTTTGGGAAGAAGCTTGATTGATTTCTATTCGTAAAAACTTCAAGTTTTTTCCTCTTGTTAAATGAAAAATCAACAGACACTTGTCCATGTTCATAACTCGAGGAAGTCGAGTGTTTGATTCCTCTAAAGAAAAAGCAGGTAATCACACAATTCAGAACAAAATAATGCGCCCACACAGAAGATGCAGCAGTTGAAATTCCCCTTTGTTATGTTAATACTGTCAAGATGGGAAACTGTAGTCAGCTCGAGAGAAAACAATACAAAATAGCATAAGTACTTTTTCATTGAAGCTTTGTCTTTTCGTGTGCCATACGAAACTTAAGAGCGAACCTTAAAGCTTCTCCACGCATTGACTGGGTGAGGGTGGTCACATACTTGAAGGTGAGACTGTCTGCAATCGAATGCTTGTTAAAATCATTTGCTACCGTAAAATATAACGAAGATTTTCATTTTGGCAGTTAGCTGCTGCTAATGATTTATTTATTATCACAGCCTGGGTATACTTTTCATTAATTACGATAATTACATCTCTAATGGATAAGATAAGAATGTTTGTTCAAGTGCTGTGCGGTTCACCTTTGAACATGTCCATACTTTTCTAACAGCTCTTCAATTGAGTTCTGCTGAGTGCTTCTTATGAAAAAATTGTACCATGATCGTTTTTTTTTCAATCACGCTAAGTTCGGGATTCCGGAAATATTCACGCATTTCAATTTAGTCTCGGCACTCTTTAGGTTCACCGATTTTTTTCCATGCAAAAGGAAACCGATGCGCTGGAAACCCGCTACAAAATTTAAACGTTCGCTTCATATCGTTTCCTACCCCGTTACCTTCATTTCTGTTCTGTTTATTTGTCATTCTTTATTATTGTTCCACGATTATTCTTAGTCTTTTTCTTTCTTCTTTTTTCCTTTTGAAATATGGGGTTTCAGTAATTTTTCCTCAGAAAGTAACCAGGATTTCCAACGTTAAGAAAGATGACACATGCAAAAGGTTCCTACCAACCGAAAAATTTAATGTCAATTTTTCAACATGCTCGTCTGCTATCAAGATCCTTTTTCAAGTTATTTATCCTTACTAGCTGTTTATCTTTTTTCTTTTTTAATATACCCCTACATTAGTATTTTATACCCATAACTTGAAATATCGAAGGCCAATTCCTTCGTGAAAATTGCATCTTAAAAAATACTTTTATCATCTGGCATATTTTATCTAATCGCACGAAGCTTTGATATTATTGATCCTCGCGGTATGAAGGAGACTTGTCGCATGTAAACTTAATACTAAATGACTCGTAACTTTGCCTTAATGGTTGAGGCCCGGGGTTTCAACCCTCCATCAAATAACAACTATAGCATCTTTCATTCATTTTTTGCCCCTGCTACTCAGCTTCATAACTAATTTAAATTATCCACCAAAGTTCAGTAGAGCCACGTTACTACGAATTGAGAGTCAGCAATTTTAAATAATGTGCTTATCTCTAAAGCACACATAAATAACATGATAATGGATATCGGAAAACATTTCATGATGGGCTTATCTGCTCCGATGTCGATCAATCTACGAACAAAACGCTTCAACCCAAGTTGCTCACGACTGCCTCAGGCGACTCAGTGTATTTCCCTGAGTATCATTGCAAAGTTTCAACTGTTAGACAAGTAACCGCGCGCTTTTCGCTAACGAGGAGGCAATTAACGTCCATTTTTGTCAGAATCGCTTTGTATATAACTCTTCTCTTGGGCTCGTTGAACTGTGTTTGAACGATCTCTATTAGACGCTAATCAATAAAACGATGCCGCAAAATAATTAAGTTTCGGGATTTTGTCTTCTGGCTTTGAGTTACAGAGAGCCTGAGA